AWGAAAAAACTTCCTAAAGAGCTGAAATTTTTCTTCCAGTCTGTTCAACGTTTAAGTATCAAGTTTACATGTGAGAGTCCAAGGCGTACATTGAAAAGCCTTCTGATTGTCGATGTAAAAGTGCGTCCTGTTAACATCAAGTTAATTTTGGTTAATTTTGCCTTATTAATAATAATAATAATAATAATAAATAAACAATAACAAAATGAATAAAAAATAAAAAATAGTTCTGTTTCGTTTTGGTACCGTTTCGTTTATCGACAGTAAGAATATTCTACGATATATGCCAAAAACGTCAGATGTTGACCACCGTCTGGATTTCACCATACATTTTTACCAAATTTTGCGTATCTTCAATTGCGAATAATTTCGCAACCGAACGCTATACAATGTTTTTATGCTCTGAAGAGATAGGAATGTCATATTCTAATACGAGTGAAATAAAAATTGTGATGACGTAACTGAAACCTAAGAATAGCAAATACTTTGTTGAGACAAAAATATTGCAAAGTAGAATAGAGTAACTGACCTTGATAACCATGATATTATTGAAATGATTTTTTTTCTTAAATTTCAGGCTGAGTGTTTTTCTAATTCAGTAGAATTTTTAGATGCAGATCATATGGAGTGGCATCAGTCAAGAGTAGTTGTAAGTGTCTTCAGTTTTCTTAATTTATGGCATTACTAGTATACATTCTTTGATTTTTGAAACTTGGGGCCGGTTAGAAGGGTAAGGTTTTTGGGATGATGTAGGGTCAGAGTTAGSTAGGGTTAGGCTCTAAAATCCCATCTCCCTCAAAGTCCAAACTTAAATTTTGTATAAAATCACATCAATAGCATGAATGATTTAGCTACTATTTTTGCCATTAAAGCCATTAAAGCGATAGTTGAAGTCATAAAAATAAAGCGGAACATGAAAAATGAACTTTTGACGCTATTTCCCTATAGAAAATAGCACGCTTTCGTTGTCATTCTTTCCTACACAATTATTGTTTTAAAGCGAAACACTGTTTGTACGAAAATTTAGTTCTTTTTTTCAATTTTCCATAAACAATCTCATGCTACAGCTTCAGATGTTTGCTCGCAATGAATTCTGGGAGAACACTGTACGCAGCGACAGCAACCTTCCCATCCTTTTTAAACGGAAATTTAATATATTAACCTAAAGAGCCTTCTCGGAATTCTGCCAAAATTTCAATTCGATTGTGTTACTCATTAGCCAAAACATGTAACAACACATGTTCATATAAAGTTAATCGTCTAGACTTTGAACAAGGCCCGACAACACTCTGCACTTTATTGCAGTAACATACACACTGGTATCTCCGAAATGCAGAATCCAACTGGCGAGTAACTATCCCCTTGTCAAAACTCACACAAAATGTCAATCCATCGACTAGTGCTCTTTTCACTTCAATCCCAAATTTCTAGTCTACTCTTCTATTTGCTCGTCAGTAGCCCTATAACACTTTTCGGTATCCCAATCCACTCATACTCCCTTATCATCCAATCATGATGGACCTTGTCGTATGCCTTCTTATAATCGTAAAATGCTACTGCCAAATTCCGGTGATACTGTTTAACTTCTTCCATTATGCATCTGTCTATCTATCAACTGATCGACCGTTCCCAATACTCTTTCCACTGTTCCGAACTGACCTTCAAATTTGGTTCGCTGTAGCATGTTTTCTCATACATTTTGCAATTAGCCCTGTCAAAACCTTAGAAGATGTATTCAAGCAGGTGATTGGGCGGTCATTTTTCTCATCAGAAATGTCTTTTGTTTTGGGCAATAAAACAGTTCTCCCCGTCGGCCACCACAATGGGACCAAAATGGGATGAGGTCACTGTTTGCATACAAGCACACGAACACCTGGGTATTGTGCTATTTGGGCTGCTTCAAATTTTTTGCACCAGAAATTCTGGATCCCATCAATCCCAGGAGCAKTCCAATTTKTCCGTYTTGAYACCTCTTTCCTCAGGCTTTCTACTGTTATGGTAAAGTCCTCTACCTTAGAAACCTTCTCGTTCAACTCTCTTTTCACCTTCTCCATCCAAGGCATATTTGGTGTTCTTTCATTTTTCTTCCAAATGCCTCCCAAAACTCAACAAATTTCTCCATCTCTGGCATTGTGCCTTCTCGTTTCATATCTGCTTCAAGAGTTCGAAAAAATCCTTTTTGATCACGCTGGAACACATCTATGGTGGACTAATGACGCCATAGTGGTTTTTGCTGATACAAAGAAATATTTATGTTCCCTTTATTATTATTTTCACTTTTTTTAACCGTTTCAATGTATTTTTACTTCGTTTGTTTTATTTTTAACTTTTATTTCGGTTTGTTTTATTTTCATGTTCTTTTCATTTTGATTTATTTCATTTCGATTTCATTTTGATTGATTTCCAGTTTATTTTATTTCATTTTCTTTTTACATTTTATTTTGTTTCACTTGATTTTACTTTGAAAAGTTTGATTTACTTTTAATTGAAAGTAAATCAAACTCACCAACTTTGGCCTATTAACGCCATAGACCAAAATGCAATTCTCGCATCCTGTTTGCCGTTGGGCTTCCTGTGGTGATTTCTCTTGTGCCTACATACAGTGTTTTCGCTTGCAGTGTTTAGAAATGTCTAAGCGTAAGGGGAATCCTAAAGGACAGGCTTTCAACGAGCAAGCCTCAGACAAAAGATAAGCGAAAAAAGATGACTGTACTGATCAACGAGACTACGGTTCCGAACACCTTTCGTTGACTGTTGAAGGAAAATGGCAAAAGCATGCTACAGGATTGGGCCTATTAAAACACCAAATAACTGTTCTTTTACGAATTTGTTCCTGGGAAAGGAATTTTGAGCTACATTGTTGACAATTTGAATCTCTCTGGTTCGTTCGGCTCGGTACGACGGTTGGTTGTGATTCTTTAAAAAAATTGATTTTGTTTGAATTTTATATTGCAAGAAAGTTGCAAAACTGGTAAACGAAGGTGTCTTGATTCCCCCTGGTGGGAACTAGCGGTAAACTAGTGTGAGCTGCGTCGGTGTTTCTAAARAAACAGTTGTGTAAAAAGGTAAATTAAACAAGTTATTTCACCTACTTTTTTACGTTGGTTAATTTATCTTTTTACACAAATGATTCCCCCTGTCCAACTTACGGAAAATATGGACTGATATCCATAGCAACGGTCCAATACGGCTCTGGACAGACCGCGCGTCAGAATTCAGGAAATATACAAGCCAAATAATATGGCCTGATTACTAATGATGCACTAAAAAGATTGCACTCTTGAAAAGAATATAAAATTAACCCTGCAAAAAGGCTCTATATGAGTTCACGAATGAATGAGTGATTTTCGTAAGAAAACAATCTATTTGAAAATCTGGTTTCATGCATGACCTTAAAACCATAGGGCGAGGCTGTACGTTTGAAGTGAAAGTGGTTTATTATTACCAATGATATGTTTTCATGAAAAGCCCAAATTTGGAGAAAAAGCTAGGTTGTAGTATTTAATCACATGGATTGATCCAGAATGCTGTAAGTAAGAGTTAGTTACCGAGAACGGAGGCATTACGCTATATACAGCCCGAGGGCCGCAGGTGCCGACGTGCGAGGTAACTAACAAACTTAGTTTTCAATTCACGTGGTTTTCGCAAAAACTGAATAGACTTAATGAATGTTTTCTTAGTTGGGTTTCGAACAATAGAATCCTCTCCTCTTGAGACCTTTTCATGGACTGTTGAAATTAGTTTCCTTTAAGAAAACCTGTTCATGCGAAAGCGAGCAATCGAAATTTGAATATTATTATCAAATATTCTTAGCAGTCATTCTGGAAACGATGTCGAACAGTGACGATTTGTTTATAGCTCAAAATACGTTTGACATCATTCCTTTGACGAACTTTGATATTGACGACTATTTGCTATCGGATTTGGAACTCCGCATGCTTCTTCCCGCAAATAACGATGACAAAGTCTGCAGATGGGAAAAAATGAGAAAAATGACAATAGTTTTTGATGTTGAACTCGCTCGAAAAAATCCGAGGGAAGGATTCAAGAAGGAACAAACTAAAGTACCAAATGGCCGTGTGTACGTGCTTGGATAGAATGGACCAAGTCACACCGATTTCTTCTGATTCATACACRTTGGTTAATTCCKAAGAATAGATTCTTTTAAAAGTAACGGCGAAGATCTTGGTTCTTATTGTCTCTATTCTCTGATGAACATATGAAGAAAAGCTGCGGGATTCGAACTTATTACACCTTAAATCTCCTCAAGTTTTGCTGGCCGCACTGGTCTTTTTTAGGGGAAAAATAGTTTAGTTTACTTAGTTTATTTGATGTTCAGCAGGGAAATGTGGGGTTGATGAATTGAATTGAATAACTCGTTATAAATTCAGCGGGCTATAT